CCTTGGCGCTAGCCGCTCACCTGAGCAGAGCCTCTGACATTGGGTCACTAGGATCCAGTTTGTGTGAGGTGTATATGGGGCTTGCTGTAAAGGTTTGAAGTTTCATGGGCAATCAGATGGAAAAGAACATAGAAACACAATCGAAAGTATGGAAACTACAGTTGTATGGGGGTGATATGGTGATGGTTTCCGGTGATCGCATGCGTGATTTCGCTTCTGGCAGGAATGGTTTATATAGCATACTAAGGTATTTCAAGACATTGAAGTATATTACCGTTCATCAGAGTACCCACTCCACTTGAAGCCTCCATACTGTTTTGACTCTGGAATTGAGCCATGGCAGTTGTGATCTGCCTCAGGCATAGATCAGGTCTTGGATTAAGCGCTAGGCTGCAAGTTCATAGTACATCTTTCCCCCTAAAAAAAGCATGTCTCCCCCTTCCAGTGGATATACTCCAATTCGTATTTAGTATTAGGCGGGAGCATTTATCGTACGACGCGAGTTTTTTTTTTTTGAGGGGAGGGGGGNNGGGGGGGGGTGGGTATGCAATAAGAACGCATAAGATCATCAGTTCCAGTAGATCATAAAAAATGAGACAGACTGACAGACAGACAGATACACAGACTGAAAATTGATTCTTTGCAGCAGCCAAAGTGGCTCATGTACCCTAGAGTCAGTCTTCAGGATTTCAGGTTTTGGATGTTGGGCTTTGTCTTGGAATTCTTCTATATAAGTATCTGTTTAAAAACCCATTCAAAAGCAATCGAAATCTTCCAAATCAAGGAGCTTGAGTTATGCTAGGCACCCCCTTACTCAGAGGATGCGAGGCGTAATTAACTTTATTGTTGGCCCTTTTGAAATAGTTTCCGGTGTAGATTTCAGAAGTTGGAATTCCGGGGAACTCGTACTTCATATTAGGGTTCTTAGGGGGGTTGATATTAGGGGAAGTGATTAGTGGAAGATCAAGTGGAGATAATAAATTCAAGACCCAATGGACATATACATGGAAAACCAAATGGACAAGAAAGTCGACAACCCGCCTGGGACATCAGACGGAACATGAATTCAGCGAGATGGCTGCAGCAGCCTCACAGTCTCGTGCCCCACCATCCACATTTTCCATGCCTGATGGTAGGGCAAGGGTCTAGGTTTAGGGTTAAGTGGGGAGCTTGATCGCCGACATAGGCTACAAAGCATATCTATGCCCTCATGACTGACTAGTGACCAAAAAGTCTGCTGCCTGCAGGAGGCCGGGCGACAAGGTCACTTGGCACTGAGATTTTGCCAGGCTATTCAGAATATAGATACAACAATATTTCTAGTCCTACCCTGCTTACGGCTGCTGCTGCTGCTGCTGTTGCTACTACTACTACTACTACTACTACTACTATGATTGATAGTGCCCTTTTCCTTAAACCGAATACCACGTGGTACAACAACACGTGTTTCAGTGTACTTGCGAGGTTCTTCTTTCTCTTCTAATTATCTCCAACTTGTGCTCTTGTGCTGTTGGAGCTTGCCTGGGGTACACTGATCCTGTAAGCCCATCCGCTGAGACCAAGGGGCCTGCCCTTCCCTCTAATTAAGCATGTTCCCCTGTTTGGTCCCCCTTTCTCACTGCTAGCTTCCAAGGTTGCCAAGGTGCTGTGCTTGCTGGCTGTATCTGGCTGTTGGCGGGGAATGGAGGGGTGGCTCGCAATAGTAGCCGTAGCCCGCATGTGATCCAAAAAAGTGTGTAGCGGTTCCCATGTTCTTGTCAATTTCTTCATTCCCTGCCAACAGCCAGCATTTCTGAGGTTACATGCTCTGCGTGGAAGGCTCCGCGAAGCTACCAGATGGCAGTGGCAAGGCAAACTCGCCCTAGGGCAGGGGCGTCAAAGACTTCTGTGCACACCTTGAGCCTGCCTGGACAGTCAACATGAAATAGCTCGAAGCTTCCGGCCCCTTTCCTGCCAATGGGCTAGATGGCAACATCAGCAATTGTCAACAGTGCTTCCTAAAACATACATTTCCCTCCTCGTAAACTTCACAACCCGAGTTGAAATCATGAAGGCCCATGACGGAGGCCAATTCTACTTACAGCAAACCCCCCGACCCGATATAAAATCTTCCCTTATTCCCTTCTAAGCCCGGTAAGTTGGCGGCATGAAGGTGCATGATCTCCAGCAGCATGATGGCATCGAGCTGAAGCTTGGCTTAGTGGAGCTTGCAGGAGTTGAGCGCGCTGCCCTCTGCAGCAGAGATCCACGCCATCCCTCATGAGTGTAGCGCGCAGCCGTTCAGATAAGAAGTTGAGGTGTTCAATGTAAAAAGGCCACGGCTCTTGCGAGTGTCCTGATGAAGGCCTAGGGCCCCTAAGCAGCACCCCAACCCCTGGCAGGAACCATCGGTTAGGCACGCCGAGCCTTTGTTAATTGCGGTGCCATCATGATGACAGCTACTCCTCTCATTATCATTCTGACCCCCGCCAAAACCTCAGCATCCCCCTACATCTTTGGGAACAGCGAGATCTTCACGTGAGGAAGGGACCTTTGTCCTTAGAGCCCATGGCCGGAGCCAGTAAGCTGCACTTAGCACAGGGATCTGAAGTTTAGGCTAAAGGCCTGAGGGATTCTGATGTTGCAAAGAGCCGAAGGGTTCCATCACGATCTCCTAGTATGATGACACAGAGATACTTTTCAGGATGTTTAGTCCTTGGCAGAGGAGTGTCTTCAACTTGCGGTCCCTTTGGGGGGTCTTCGCCTTCATAACAACCTCAGGCCCACAGTTGCGGGGACACGACAGCATCAGAGAGCCAATGATTTGATTGATGCAACACCCATGTTGTAGCCGTATATGTCTTTCGCCATTCATAGGACCTAAAGGACTTGAGAGTCTGGAAGGGAAGCTTTTCATACTTGCGGTCGCAGGGTCTTCCTTGTTGTGCAGAGTTTCTGACAGGCAGAGGCTTACTAGTCGAGGGTCTGTAGAAAACCACCCAGAAGGAGCCACGACACCTCTGTAGACTGCCCCAGGTTCCCATTCCAGACCTTGAGCAAATATTGGTAAAGGGCCTGGTAGACCATACTGAACACAGAGTCGGTCAAATGATTTCAGGAACCTCCCATACTGGAAGTTTCTCAGTTTACCCCTTGGATCCCTGAAGCGCCCTCTTACGAAGCCTTCAAGTCTCAGGCCAGTGGGGCTATGCTGCTGCTCTTTGAGATGCAGGAGACGTCAGACAGCCGCCGGGATGCCTGGTAATAAGATCACCTCCGCGGCAGCATCTGCATGTAGAAGGTGGGATAAGTGCTCGGTTTTGTATATAGCTCATAGTAGAAGGAGGAGTACTAGTAGGAGCAGCAAGAGTAGTAGGAGCAGTTGTAACAGCAGTGGCCGAGACAGTGGCAGTGGCGGAGGCAGTGGAAGGGGCGGCGGCAGCAGCAGCAGGAGGAGGAGTAGTCGTAGCAGTAGGAGAAGAAGAAGTAGTAGTAGTGGTGGTAGTAGCTTTTGTAGTCGTAGTAGTTATTAGAGATTCGCTTACAACGGAGGTGGGTTGATGTTGCCATCAGGCTACAAATCACCCTTCGGCTTTATTGCAGGAGGCAGGGAAGTGGCCCTGGAAACAGGATGGGCAACTCCCTGACAAAGCACAAGTGCAGCCTTTGCCCGAAGATGGCAAAGCCGCAGCCTCCGCGTCCGGTGAAGAGCCAACTGATATGTACCAGCAATTACTGGACAAAGCGGGCTTGCCGCGCCAAGCAGCACTTCTGCGATAGCCCTATAGTTGTACAGACCGATCGATCTTGCTCTTATGGCGTTTGCCATCACCTTGTTCAAGGGAGAGAACTGGAGAGAACTGGGGTGCAAAGCCTCGTGAGGACGCCATAGGAGTTTTTCCGTCTCCAGATCTGCTTTGATTTGCCCTCCAGCTGCTTTGCATCAGCAGCAGTTGCTTTTTGCAAGTATGCAGAAGCTCTGGAGATGTTAAAGCAGCTTATACATGCGTGGAGGAAAGTGTGACAAAAACAGTTCCTGCCACAGCACAAGACTTCTTGAGGGTAGGCCAGCCCAAGCTATTTCCAGGAGGCTGTCAGTGGCCGCTTGTCAGACATTTGGCAGGCACTTTCCTCTCTTTTCTCGTCTTCTCGCTGCTGTGGCCGTGGCTCGGAATATCAAGACCAGGGGTCCTCTGAGACAGCTCAGATTTGGCAATGATACGCAGGCTGTGTGAGCGCATGATCAGTTGAACCTGTCCTGTCGACGCCTATGCGATAATGTGTCATGGCCTCCTATCCAACACCTCTCGTTCTTCTTATGTTTTGCCGTCGGACCCCTTGTCAGGTACCTTGGGTTCCACACCTTTCTCATCAGCCGCAATCTCACAACCATCGAGCCTCGCACAGATACGCATAGATGTTGTTTTGAGGTCATGCAGACTTCAGAAGCACGCCCATAGTTTGTGTCACTACTCACGTGGGACGCCCTCAGCATGACCCCTTGACATTCTATACCATTTTCAAGGCAGCCCTCAGATCCCCAAGCGCACCCTTCTGTAACTAGCACGATCCAATAGCCGAGGAGTACTTGGAGACTCGGGACATTCTACCCGGCCTCTCGAAGCGGCTCGGACGGCTACATTGGCCCGTTGCTGCAGGGCATTGTGCCCTTTCGTGGATACATATGTTCAGGTCCTATACCTTGCCAGATACTCTTGGGCCCAAGGCATGCCGCAAGGAGTGCCATTTCCCTTATGCAACAGAAATCCTGCTTTGCATATACCCATTTGGCAAGGTATGACGAGGGCCTCTATGGCAACATCAAGTGTGCCAGGAGCTCAGCTGCCAGCCTTTGTGATGCAGGCGCCGTGCTGAATCTTGCGGCAGCTTCCGCTGCAAAGCATTGCAAAGACTTTTGAGTTGTGACGCTGCTCCAACCTTTTGACCCGCAAAGCTTGCTCAAGCTTACATAGAAGCTTCCCAAGCTTTGATTTGTTGTGTTTGTAGCTTTCGAGGCGGCCATGGGGTACCCGTCCGGCGGTAAGGGCAAGGGAGGCCATATGGGAGCCTATCCACAGATTGGCGTCACTAAATTGCACATATCTTGAGGGGACCTTCGTACTTGCTTTCCTGCGCGCCTGCGCGCACCGCGTAAGAACCCCGTCTGAGGTCAGCACCGACGCGCTTCCAATGCAGCGTCCTGCTCCGCAGCAGCCTGAGATGAAGGCGGACGTTGCTGGAGATGATTCTGGGTTGTTGTTGACTGTCATCTGTGGTAAGTGTGTGTACTAGAACCTGATATGTTTAAAAAACATGTTCACATGTACTAGGACGTGCCCCACCGATATCCCAGGATTGGAAAGCGCAGATTCGCCGCCCGCCTCCAGACCAGCGCTACAAGACAGAGGATGTGACTGCCACGAAAGGCAATGACTTTGAAGATTATTTCTTGAAGCGGGAGCTGCTCATGGGCATCTTCGAGATGGGATACGAGAAGCCCTCCCCGATCCAGGAGGAAAGCTTGCCAGTTGCTTTGACGGGCAAATCCATTCTTGCCCGAGCCAAAAACGGCACCGGAAAAACCGGAGCCTTTGTCATTCCCATTCTTGAAAAGTGCAACACCACAAAAAACGTTATCCAAGGGCTCATTCTCGTGCCCACGCGAGAGTTGGCGTTGCAGACATCTTCCGTGGTGAAGGAGATTGGCAAGCACATGGGCGTCCAGTGCATGGTGTCCACAGGTGGAACAAGCCTTCGAGAAGACATCATGCGTCTCTACAACGAGGTGCACATCGTTGTGGCAACACCAGGAAGGGTCCTGGACCTTGCGAACAAGAATGTTTGCAATTTGAAGCAGTGCTCCATTGTTGCCATGGACGAAGCTGACAAGCTACTGTGCCCAGAGTTCAAGCCCATCATCGAGGACCTCATCAAGTTCCTGCCGAAAGACAGGCAGATTCTGATGTACTCAGCGACGTTCCCCATTGCAATCTTGGACTTCAAGAACAGTTGCTGGGCAACTTTTGGATGCAGTTGCGCGCGGTGAAATACTAGAATTACTAGAAGAACTCAAGAATAGAAAGCCAACAACGCTAAAGTGCCAGCAATGCTACCAGGTTTCATGCAGGATGCCCACGAGATCAACCTGATGGATGAGCTCACGCTGAAGGGCGTGTCCCAGTATTACGCATTTGTAGAGGAGCGCCAGAAGGCTTGGCCATTTGATCAATACTATAACTTATCATGATTGGATTTTGTGGAAAGAGAATGACATGGTTTCATCCTCTTTGCTCCTTTGGGCTCCTTCTGATGTGTAACCTGCAGCTGCAAGTCCCCCTCATTGCAGGCAGAGAGATGTTTTTTTTTTGAAGTGAAGCTCACACCCAGGAAAAGCAGGATTATTGGAATATATAAGCCGTGATCTAACTCCTTCAAGGGGGTCATAAAAGGGAGTATGTAGGGGACTACTACCGGGGTACTGAGGTGGATACTAGGAGACCCTAGCTCATATCAGGACCCTGGCTGAACTACAATTATCCCTGTGGTTACTGGGAGTAGATGGGGGCTGAACCTGCGGTATCCCACAAGTGTCATGGGGTCACAAGGCTGTTGCACGCCCACAATCGTCGTTTGCAATTTTTTGGTGCAAGTCTGGCTCACGACTTGCAGGTTCACTGCCTGAACACCCTCTTCTCCAAACTGCAGATCAACCAGGCTATCATCTTTTGCAACTCCGTGACCCGAGTGGAACTCCTGGCCAAGAAGATCACAGAGTTGGGCTACTCATGCTTCTTCATCCACTCGCGGATGTACCAGTCCCACAGGAATCGAGTGTTCCACGACTTCCGTCAGGGAGCTTGCCGGTGTCTGGTTTCCTCTGACCTCTTCACCCGGGGCATCGACATCCAGTCTGTGAACGTGGTCATCAACTTCGACTCCCACCTGACCATTATGTAAGATTGAATCTTCCTTGGCGACATGAAATTCAACATACATCGGGGTTTCCCGAAATTAGGGCTATTTGTTTGGAGGTCCCTATAATCAGGATTATAGTATTTTGGGGTCTATATTGGGTCCCCCTATTTTCGGCAACTATTACACACCCAAAGGTTAACCTCCACCTAAGGACTTCCCCAAGAACTCGGAGACCTACCTGCACCGCATTGGCCGATCAGGCCGCTTCGGCCACCTTGGTTTGGGAATCAATTTTGTAACTTACGAGGACCGTTTCAACCTGTACCGTGTGGAGAAGGAGTTGGGGACGGAGATCCAGCCCATCCCGCCGACCATTGACCCGGCCACCTACACCTAAACAATTCCGAAGTTCAGTCGACTTATGAGACGACGGTCAACTCGTGAGTTCCGCATAATCCGGAAAGCTCTTGCATGGTATCACATGCAATGCTAAGATGCAGCGATTTTGTCAGGACCAGTCCATGCATCGGACTTCCGTGTCATACTAGACAAAAAGAACCGCGACCTTTCAAGAGAGGTGATCTCAGTCCAACTTATACTTCGTTATTGCTACATTAATGTCGAATTATGCATTTCTAGCATGCCTACGTCGTCCTATGCAAAGCTGTTGCTTTCCAGCGTTTGCCCGGTTCTTTGACAAGTTCCTCAGGGTTTCACCGTTTACGCGGTTCTCACTCAAGTCAAATTAAAGGAGCGTCCCCTGCGTGGCTGGCAAAACGGACAACTCAGCACTTGGGAACCTGAACAATCGATGACATTCATTTGCCAAGAAAAGTCTTCATGGTCTCATCAAAGCCACAGTTTCAACGGGCTTCCCCAAGAATTGCTTTGGTTGTTGAGGTTCCTCGTTCGCAAGCTAGCTTTTACTGTTTGGGAGCTTTATTTGCTGTTGCCACCGCTGAAACTTGTCATGACATTGAGACTCCGAAGAAGAGACAGTTCCTGTTCCGTGTTTGCTCCCCTTGATTTTTCCATCCTCATTCTCCTGAAGCAGAGAGGAGTGGCCGCCCAGGTCATGGGGGACTTCTGGCCACTCTGGCTGCTACCTGTTTGCGGTCCCAGCGGCACTGGCCTTGACTCCTGTCCAAAATTAAGAATCTAGAGTTGAGGTTTACAACCAACCCTCATCACCCTCATTGACCACGGAGCCTAAACTACAGTTTGGGAGAATGCGATATCAGATGTATACGTGGATTATCAGGGTGCGTCATTCCGATTACATTATCTTCAGCCACAGTTTCCTTGAGAATCGCTTGCAAGGAATGGGGAGTTGCCGAGGCCCAGCCCGAGGAGATCAACTGACATTTAGTCACGCCAAGACGATGACCTTACTAAGTCGAATATATGGCAATATGTGTATATGGATGTATGTGTGTATCTTTATATATATATATGTCTGTACGTATGTATGTATGTATGTACGTACGTACGTACGTACGTATGTACGTATGTCCACCTAGAGGCGCCGCTTTCAGGCGTGTAGAGGCACATGAGTGTATACAATATATATATATATATACACATATCTACATATGCATACTTTGTGTGTGTATACATAAGATTTGTAGGTCAGGACCTTGCAGGGGATGTTGGGCCCTGATTTGCATTTGAGACCTGTTCCCAGGATAACCCAAACAGCAAACCTCCAACCCTCAATGTGCTAATGAGAGTTAGAGCCACGGCTTTGTGCCGGTGACATGGCCCCGAAGTTGTTAGGAGTTCCTGTTCACCAGCAAGATGCAGGATGACTCTTTGCTGCTACAATGTCCCAGGAAGCTTGTTCCTTTTCCAAAAGCAGGTGGTCCCCGCACCAGGGTCCGTCTCTGAATCCCAATTCCTGTCCAGGGAAGTTGCTTGTGAATAGGTCAGGCCCTGCAACATGTCAGAAAGCTACTTTGCGTATGTTGATGAGGACCGTTTGCGACATTCCAATCACGCAATCAGGTGGAGGACGTAGTCCTGGGATCAGAAAAGATAGCGTTTGTGTCAAGGAATGAATGCTTGTTACGCGAACACAGAAAACATTCAAACAAACTGAATCCGAAAAATCGACAAGCATGAACAACAGCGACGACGACTACAAAACAAGACCGCGAGCCAGAACAAGAACCACCACCCCCGCCAATACCGCAGCCACCACCCCGCTACCTCCTCACCACCACCACCCCACCGCATCCCACCGCCACCACCACCGTCACCGCCGCTGCCACAACCAGAAGAAGATTAGGTACGCAAGATCCTAAGATATAACCAGGAGGTGCATCCCATAGTCCGTTATAACTACTAGTATAGCTCGCACTAATGCTTCATAGTGTGCCTGCTCATAGATGACAGGAAACCCTTCCGACCATCCCACAGAAGCTGTTGCAGCACCAAGGATGCCAGCACGCGGGCCGAGGTGAAGCTACAGAGAAGTACGGTACCGGTCAAATTAGGGGTCCCTTTGAAGGAGTTACATGGGTGCAGATAAGGGTATATAGGGTTCGGGATTAGGGTCCAGGGCTTCCAACAATTCAGGGACACACCCCAATGATGGAAACCGCGATTTTGTTGGGTTTGCAAAGTTAGCAATCCTTTTCTGGGGGTTGATGAAGTTTTGGGCCTTGGGCTCTGTATGGTGAGCCCCGAACATATGGAAACACGCGTATACACTCTTCCAGAAAAGCCAAAGGGTTTTGCTCGAATTTGAAGTCAAAGAGGACAAACGTTTCAGTTTGATTGTCCATTCTCTTTTGCATTTGATTTTCCATCGCCCGGATACTATCCTTCATTTTGGGAACCCTAAACTCTAATCCCCAGACCCTACATATCCGAGTAGGTATCCTGTAGAATTTTTCGCTGCAGGCTTCATTGTTCGGGGCCGTCTCTTGCGTGAGGTTCGTTCCACTGGGGCTGCCATTATGTGTTGAATCCGCATATCTTCTTGCCAAGTTTTTGGGGTTCTAGAAGGATCAGATGGGTCTCAATGTGGATTTGATACTTCCGGGCTGATGCAGTGTAAAGGTTTGAGGCTTCTTTGATTGAAGCTTGTTTTCTGCATACATGGAAAGTCTGAAGCGGCTTTGGTTTGACAACCTTCTACACGGCCTGGGATCAGCATGAAGCTTGTTGCATGTGACCCCAGGCTTGTTCTACCTTCCCTTCGGTGAATAACAGGGAGGGATATTGTTTGTCTGATGCAGGAGAACTAGCTAGGTTCAAATGGAATGATGTAGCAGGGTCAAGATCTCCATGTCTTTCTTTTCAAAGATGGCAAATTTACTTTAACCTGGACTTTACTGTCTACAACCTCTTCTCACTTCTGTGGCAACACATCCCGGCAGGAACGAACCACGCCATCGCAAGCTGCAGCAAGTTCATCCTCTCGTGAGCAGGTGCCACACTGGCAATCCTGAACCCTAGGCCCTAAGCCCCAAAGATATCGGAATGCGCGTTCTAACTTCTGACCGGATTGGAACCTTGCCGTGCTGTGTTGGCCATGTGAACTGCGTAGCGTTTAGTGTTGAACCCCGAAAGCTTTATCTTGTCACCCCAGCTTTTGGCATGATGTGCGCGGTTGCTTCCGAAACTACGTGGTCCCCCTGGGATGCAGGACTATGGTATATTCCGCTCTAATTACATTGGGGCCCCCTTTTGCATCAAAAATAAAGCCTCAAAATTCACAGACTGGATTGTTAAACATAATCTTGAAAAGACCTGGAAAAATCCAGCAGAAACTGCTACGAGTTTGGCGTGTCCCTCATTGCTAGGAGGACTTCACACCGAGACATGCCAGCTTTGTCACTGGCAGTATATTAGCTTTGGAGGCTCGCTGGGCAGGTTCATAAAGGATTTACATAGGGATTATAAGGAATATATAGGGGTTATAGAGGGATACAGGGAAAGAAAATGGAAACTACTATAGTATAATAGGGTATATACTTATGCATGTATATATGTAGGGGTTATAGGTTGTTCTCTTGTTGGCTGAGTCGTGCACTTGACGCTTTTAGGCAGGCTCTCTCTGAAGCTACTTTGCCATGCCTTCCTTCGAAGGTTTACTTTGATTACCTGTTTTCATTCCTTCGGAAATTACAGGTCCCTGGCCCATGATCGCTTTGCCAATGGCATGCTGTACCTGTCTGCTGCCAGCTCATGATGTAGTTTGATCTGTGTTGTGGAGTATACTCACATTGCCGGTGCTCAAGAGCTCACCAGGCATTAGCTATAGTCAAAGCTCGACGTGGGCCAATTGCTTCATGTCTTCTAGATGCTGTATAATGTGGCATTCTGGGCTCTGAAGACCGTATGCTAATCGGGTATTACCAATAGCAGTGCATGGTGGAAGCATTTCCGCTGGCCATGGCGGGTGATGGTACTTGGTAGTTGGCCTCTCCTTTGTTTTGTTGCTCTTCTTCTTGTACAAGTCTGGTGAAGGTTTGCGCTTGCGACTCGTGGCAGTCCTTATCTCAAGCTGTGGAATCCTTCGCCAGCATCTGTCGAAGCTCGGCGCAACCCCTGACTTCTATGGGAGACGGTCTTTATAGACTATGCCAGCTTGGATCTTCAGGTAGAGTTGTTGTATCAGCGATGGTCATGCAGGATCCCCAGGTGATACTCTAGCAAGGGAAAGCATTGCAGGCGGGGCAACGTGACATAACAAGAGAGTTGAGATACGCTACTTCCTGTCTGCGTGCCCTTATCAGACTATAGGGGTTGAAGTTGAAGCTGCTTCCAAGCACATCCAACTCAAGGTTTGTGAAGCCTAGAATTTCGGACTTAGGGATTTTGGTGAGGCCTTTCAGGCAAGGATCTCTGCAAACCTTTTGCAAAAGGGGCTGCTACTTTGAGCTGAGCCCCTAGTTCAGATTTTGCTTCTGGAGGTTGATGGACCAGAAGCATAAGTGGTTGAGACTTGCATGCTGAAACCGCAAGCAAGGTGTGGGTGGTCGTGGCATGTACCGGCGGGGTAGTTTAAAGAAGGAGATTTTTCTCGACCTCATCCCTCAAGACTGGGATGCTATGACATGATTACATGACTCATATATGGTTCTTCTGACCAGGGGTTTGGGTTGTGAAGATCCTTGCCACTCTACAATACAACCTTTATACACAAAATCCTGCATACGCTCAGTTTCAATTTTGTTTTGCATATTCATTTCCGTTAGGTTCTCCCTTATTGAGCTTGTTGGATATTTGCCAAGCGCGTCCGAACAGGCCGCTTCGGTGTTTCTAAAAGTGGTGGTGCCCTTGGGAGATCAGGGATATATTGGCGGCTGGGCTGCTTATATGAATTCTGCAACCACTGCTTTTCACAAGCTCCTGCATCTACATCTTTGCTCTTCGCATTTCGCATGC